CCTTCGGCCGCTCGAGAGGCCGCGTTCCCAGCTGCGGCGCCCTCGGCCGCGCGCGCCCCCAGCGATCGCGAGGCCTCGGTCTGGGCGGCTCGAAGCCAGCCCGGTCTGATGGGCCTGTTTTCCACCACCGCCGCCACCGGAAGTTGGAGGGGGAGGGGTCCTCCTCCTCCTCCTCCTCCTCCTCCTCCTCCTCCTCCTCCTCCTCCTCCTCCTCCTCCTCCTCCTCCTCCTCCTCCTCCTTCTTCCCCCCATCCAACTTAAGGTGGTGGTGGTGGTGGAAAACAGGCCCATCACGGTCGCGCCCGTGGCGCTCGTTGCCAGGCCCGTGGCCGCTGGAAGCCAGCCGGGGCCGCTCGATCGGGCAAGCGCGGGCCGCTCGATCGGCGAGCGGCGCCGGGGCGTCGGAGGGCCGGCTCGTGCGGCAGCAGCTGCGCGGGGAGCCTGGCATGTCCTCGGCAGGCGAGGCCTCCCAGAGGGGGTCGAGGTCGAGCCCAGACCCCCTCGCGTCGTGAAGAAAGCACGACGGAGGTTTTTCGCTATTTTCGGTCCCGTGGGGCCCTTACCGGGCCTCAGGACCGTCCAAAAACCATTCAGGATGAAGACCCGGGTTGGGGAATGGGTCCAGACCTTTGGGGGCCGCGTCATGAAAATAATCATGACGTCGGGGGTTTGGGTAAATGGGGTCCGAGGATCGCGCCGCGTCACGCATCGCCGATGCGGCTCGATGCGGAGCTGCAGTTGCTCCACGCCGACGGCGCCGACGCATCGTCGACGTCGCGGGTTCATCGCAGATGCATCGCCGATGCATCGGCGATACATCGGAGACGCGGTGGAATTCATCGACCTTATCTACTCGGACCCTTCTAGAAGGCTCTTTATTGTATATATGTATATATACATATACACATATATATATATGCATACATATACATACGTATATATACACACACGCGAAATTGTAGGTCACTCTAGGTCACTTCGCGCGTAGCAGCCTGTGCCTTGAAGGTGCCCTTCTCGAGGGCAGCTGCGCGAGAGTGCGAAGAACACCGCGCATCTCGGGGCGCGATGCGCGAAGTTAGGCGACCTTGAAATCCAGTCTCTAGAGTGCATTAGCGTGCGCTGGCGTGTGGTAATCGACGTGGGAGCGCAGATTTAGTGTCGATGAGCGCCGATCCAGCGACGACTAGCGTCGACTCGCAAGAGCAAGCAAGATGACATGGAAGGCTCCCATGAGTTGCCACAGAAAGCTCGGGGCGCTTCGCGATGGAGGCCCCGGAGCTGACGTCTAAGCAGGAGATCATCAACATCCAGATCGGAAAGGCCGGCAACGCGATGGCCCACGAGTTCTGGCGCGACCTGTGCGATGAGCACGACATCCACTGGAACAGCGAAGACACTAAGGGCCAGTACCACCCGCAGGATGATTTCCCTGACCACCTGCACGTCTTCTTCAACGAGGGCTCCAGAGGTAGGGACAACGCGATGCGATGGGTGCCTCGTTCCATTCTCATGGACTTGAATATGGCCGACCTGTCTGCGATCACTCAGGACCCGCTCGGGGACCTCTACCGGCCAGAGAACATAATCGGCAACGACGAAGGATCTGGGAATTGCTACGCCAAGGCGTACCACACAGACGGGCCTGAATTGGCAGACCAGTGTCTAGAGATGGTCAGGAAAGAGATTGAGCGCTGCAATTGCCTCCAGGGCATTCAGTTTGTGCACTCCGTCTCCGGCGGTACCGGCTCTGGGCTGACTGGGCTAGTCATGAGAGTTCTGCGGGACTACCTCGACGGTGACAAGGTCATCATGCAGAATTTTTCTTTGTTGCCCAGCAAGGGCCAGTCGGACATGCTGGTCGAGCCGTACAACGCGTCCCTCAGCCTCGCGGACATAATAAATTACAGTGACCAGTGTTTCGTTTTCGACAATTCGGCGTTGACAGACATCTGCCAGAAGTCCTTGAGGATGGACGTTCCGAAGATGGCTAAGCTGAACAACATCATCGCTCTATGCATGAGCGGCATCTCATCGGGATTGCGCTTCACCGGGCGCCTGAACGTTGATCTACGTAAGCTCCATGTTAACTTGGTGCCGTATAAGAGGATGAAGTTCTTGCTTACAAGCTTCGCTCCCTTGGGTGCTGAAGCAAACAAAAAGTACCGACAACTATAAGGCTGCCTGCGGCAAATCCCACCACCGTGCCAGCCCAACGTGTTCGGTGGCGACTGTTCGAGGGGGCGCGAGAGGCCGTCACGTGTGACACCTCGTGTTCCCAGGCTTTGGAGAGTCGTCACGAGTAACTAGTGCTTCCAGGCGTTGGAGGCTACTTATTCGAGGAGCTCTCATGCAACTCGTTTGGGCCTCCTGGGGGGCTGCCTTGGCCTCCTGTGGGGCAGTATTGGGGTCCCTTGCGGCCCTCTTTGGCCGTCTTGGGGTAACCGCGTACGGGCGATAATACAACATACCCCACTTTAAGGGTCTCTATTTCTACTACCCCCGTTCAACAGGATTTAGTTGTGGAGAAGGGCGCGGAGGCCGAACTTTCTAATCCACGGGGGAAGGTGCGAAATCGAAGTTGGGAAGTTGCGAATCCATGTTGAAAAGCAACAGCATCAAAAACGCTGAGCATGGCCATGGTGGTCTCACCACACCAGTTTGCGCAATCACGAGCGCCTGCTGGCAAGTTGTATAGCCACGAGCCTCGAGATCTTTCGAGTCAGTCTTGTGCCAAGCGCCTGCTGGCAAGTTGTATAGCCATGAGCATCGAGATCTCTCGAGTCAGTCTTGTGCCGAGCGCCCATGATCACCGTCATCATGATCATCGTCATCATCATCATCATCAGCATCATCATCATAACTTACCTTCCCCTGGGAACGTCTATTATGATCCCCGCCAGACCCCCGAACTTGATTATCCCCCGGGGATTATTATCGCCAACGCACGGTTGTTCTTTCGCCGCCTGGGGTCTCTCTTGGGCCATCGTGGGGCCCTCTTGGCCATATGGTGGGTGTCGTTGGGCCGTCGTGGCACCGTCGTGGGACGTCGAAGGGCCGTCTGAGGGCGTCTTGGCTGCCACAGGGTCTGGTTGGGCCGTCTTGGGGCCGTCTTGGATCTCTCGCTGGCCATCGTGCGGTCCTCTCGGGCCGTCTTTGGACCCATAAGGGGACATCGTTGGCCGTCATGGGGCCATCGTGGAGTCTTGTTGAGCCGTCTTGAGCTGACGGAATTCCGAACATGCGAGAATGCCAACATCTTTAAACACAAAAGGGAAGCCATTGATTTTGGCCTTTCAGAAAACCTCCTTGGAGATCCTATTGCGGCACTTGTAGGCCCCCGTGGAGGCATCTTGGGCCGTCTTGAGGCCACATTCGATTGTTTTGGGGCCTCGTCTTCGAGGCAGCGTGGGCCATCCTGGTGTCCTTGGTTGCCTGCATGGGCCGTGTTGGGAGCTCGGGATGCGCATACATGGATTTGTGCCAGGGATCGTGGCTTCAGGAGCGCGGATCCATAGGTTTGTGCTAGGGGTCGTGGCCTCGGGGGAGGGGGGGGCGGTGAACGGGAGGGGACGCGGCTAGAGAAGGGGTGTGAGGGGACCCCCTTATTAGAATTCAGGAACCCTACCAGACAGCACTTCGCATTCTACCGCGCCTCACCGCGCCAGGAGGCACGGTGGTGGATCGGCACAGGATCTCGCGCAGCAGATGATGTCAAAGGAGAACATCACGTGCAAAGTGGACCCGCAGCACCCGGGAAGCCAGCAGGAGGGCGTGCCGATGGCGCGCTTTCTGGCGAGTTGGGCCGCCTGGAGAGGGAAGTGGCAAACCAGCGACGTCGACCAGATCATCCACGATATTTGGAAGGAGCGCTCTCGCTACGACAAGTTCTTTCCCGACTGGATACCGAACCCCATCGGCAGCAACATATGCGAGGCGCCCCACTGCGATGTGAAGGACTCCGTCGTCTTCGTGACGAACAACACCGCAGTGGCCAACAAGCTAAAGGAGGTGAGACAGTCCTGGGACCTGATGTACAAGGCGCAGTCGTACATTCACGTGTTCACGAACGAGGGTCTTGATAGAGATGAATTGAAATCCAGCGCCGATAACATGTTAGATGTGGCGGACGAGTACGACCACTTTGCCCTGCACCCAGATAAGATTTTGGGCTTCAATGACTCGCCCCACGAGCAGGCCGAGATCGAGCAGGAGCTCCTGCGCTTTCAGAACATGGACGGCAGCGACAAGGAGGTGATGCGCCTCGGCAGCAGGAGGGGTGCCTACTGACACCGGCCTGCTCACGACAACCCCTCTTTCGGCTGCCCCTGCTAGGGGTGACCGTTCGCCAGAGTTACCTTTAGTGCGCGGCTGTCGCGGACAGCGTGGGGGCACATCCAAGTGCGCAGGCCGTCCCGGGGAAGGGGTCGGGACTGCCAGGGGCGCCGTCCTGAGGAAACACCGGGACGTCGCATGCCTGGGGAGCTCCCAGCTCTCGTCCCCATGCCTGGGACTGACTCCGCGCGGCGTGGGTCGTCTTTTGCGGTGCCAGGGGCCCGAAGACGGCTGTGCGGATGCCGAGTCTGTGACCAGTCAGCACACGTTCTGATTTGCGGTGCGGCTCCAGTGGCGCCTAGCCAGCTCCCGTGTGCATCTAGCTGGCGCCTACGTGACGTGTAACTATCATTGTATTCCCTCGGCCGTCTTCCTGCTTGGGCATAGCACCAGGAAGCAAGGCCCACTCATGCTCATTCCTTCTCGTCCTGCCTCCTCCCTCCTGCCCCCCCCCTCTTCGTTCTTCTACCCCTCCCCCGTCCGTTCCCATTCCTCCTGCCTTTTCCTCCCTCCCCTTCTTTTCCTTTTTCTGCTCCTCCTCCCTCCTCCCTCCCCTCCCTCTGGCCGAAGCACTCCACAGTCATCTCCTGTTGTGTGTCTGCTCCCTCGGTCCTGCGGTCTCACTTTGCAGGACCTTGAGGTCGAGGATGGCCGTTGATGCAAGGAGTAGGAGGAGGCTGAGGAGGAGGAGGAGGAGGAGGAGGAGGAGGAGGACGAGGAGGAGGAGGAAGAGGAGGAGGAGGAGGAGGAGGAGGAGGAGGAGGAGGAGGAGAGGAAGACGAGGAGGAGGAGGAGGAGGAGGAGGTCGAGGATGGCCGTCGACAACGAGCGCTCTTCTCCCTCCCCTGCTGGGGCACAGCAGGCAGCCAAGCTGGCGCGCCCGACCTGGCACCCCGAAAGCGCGGGGCGCCGACGGCCCAGCGAGAAACAGCGCGCCTCCTCCTCCTCCTCCTCCTCCTCCTCCTCATCCTCCTCCTCCTTCTCGTCCTCTCCTCCTCCTCTCCGTCCTCCTCCTCCTCTTCCTCCTCCTCCTCTCCTCCTCGTCCTCCTCCTCCTCCTCCTCCTCCTTCTCCTCCTCCTCCTCCTCCTCCTCCTCCTCCTCCTCCCCCTCCTCCTCCTCCCCCTCCTCCTCCTCCTCCCCTCCTCCTCCTCCTCCTCCTCCTCCTCCTCCTCCTCCTCCTCCTCCTCCTCCTCCGGTCGACCAGTCAGACACCGCGGAGGTGCGATGCCCGGCAGCGGAATGCAGCTCGAAGTTGGCAGTACCACGAGGGAGCTTCGACTTGAACTCTTTCCTCCTCCTCCTCCTCCTCCTCCTCCTTCTCCTCCTCCTCCTCTTCCTCCTTCTCGTTCTCCTCCTCCTTCTCTTCCTGCTCCTCCTCCTCCTCCTCCTCCTCCTCCTCGTCCTCGTCCTCCTCCTCCTCCTCCTCCTCCTCCTCCTCCTCCCGTGCTCGTCCTCCCGTCCTCGCCTCCCGTCCTCCTCCGTCCCTTCCTCACCCTGTCCCGCTCCCCCATCTTGCGATCCTCTCCTCATATCCGCCGCCGTCGTGCCAGTCTGTCGGAGTCGTCGTATTGGTTTCCCTCGGTGCGCCTCAGTGCCTTTCCCCGTGGCGAGTGTTCCTCCTCCTCCTCCTCCTCGCCCCCGTTCTTCTCCTTCCTCCTCATGGACGATGCGCTTGGAAGATGGGAAACCAGATTTGGAGAAGCTCTTGGTGGGGCGATGAGATTTCAGGGAGTCATCCTCCTTCTGCTCCTCCTCCTTCTCCTTGCGGTAATTTTCATTGGCGCAGTTCCCCTGGCTGTGGGCCACCAAGCAGTAGCAAGGGAAACATGCTGCGACTAGAGCAAAGTTCTGATAGGGGCGCAGTCGAGGTGAGGCCAATGCAGAGGAGAGGGAAGGACCGGAGAGCACTGCCCAAAGCCTCGGCTATGATGCGCTCTGCGCGTGGGCCTTCTTTCACGTAGAGAGGCGTGGGCGTGGGCCTTCTTTCACGTCGAGAGCGAGGGCGTCTGGAGCACCTGAACACCCCATGATGCACCCTTATCCACGGCCTCCGTATCATGTGCGCCGTTTTCCACCCCCCGCCACGTCTTGAGCGCGGCAGAGCACCATGCGTGGGGGAGCGGCCCCTTGTCTCGACGAACCCCTGCTCCTGCTCCTTGCACCCCATTTCCCTGACCGTCCCAGGCGGCGAGGCGAGGTTGGGGGAGGAGCCACGTTCTGCTTGGCCTCCGAGGCATCAGCGCCCGAGGTAGCACAGAGCCCTAGATCAGAACGGCTTGGCGGCCGCGCGGCAGCGAGTGCCTGCTTCCCCCGGCTGGAAGGCCGCCGCCTCGGGCGCGCCTCAGCGCGCCCGAGGCGGCGGCGGCGACGTCGGCGACGCCACTGCCTCCTGCGGTCTGCCCAGCAACGCCCCGTGCCGCCGATCCCCCCCCCCCTGGGCTGCGACACGGGTCCCCGACATGCGCCTCCTTGGAGTGGACATTGATTCTGCAATTACGTCCCTGCCCTGTCTCTGCCGCGTCCTCCCTCCAGTTCCTCCCTCTCCTCCCTTCCTCGTTCCTTCTCCTCCCAGCCCCTCCGCACCTTCCCTCGCGTGCCAGGCACGTGCAAAACTGCACGGCTGGCACGCGCAGCTCTCTGAAGTCTCCGAGATTGCGCCGGTGCAGTTCCGCCAGGGCCCCAGACGACTGCGCTGGACAGTCTCACCGGTGAAGTCGGAGGGCAGTCTGATGCTGTCGCGTGGATACTGTCCGCTGGTCTGCTTTGTCGCAGCCGCAGAGGTCCCCCGGCCTTCCCAAGTCCACGTGCGATGGCCCTGGCGTCCGATCACTGGCCCTACAGATGCCGACATCGAGGAGAGGCCGTTGATTGCCAACGTTGAGGGGACTTGGCATCGCTCGGACGTGTGTATGTTTCCTTCGGCGAGGACCATCGAGGAGCATCCTTGATCATTTGGCGAAAAAAAACCACACACACACACACGAAACCGAAAATAGCACAGGGAATGGACGTCCGAGCGATGGCTAGGATGCCGACATCGAGGAGAGGCCGCCGATTGCCAACGTCGAGGGGAAGCCTGTCCAATCTCGGAGAATTCTGGGCGACATCCTCGGAGCCCCGGGGCCCTCGCGGCTGGCCGCCCTCGCCGCCGGCCCGCCCTCGCCGCCGCGCCCCAGACACTCGGCGCCCCAGCTATCTTCGAGACACGGGCCCCCGACCTCTCGACCACCTCCCCAGAAACGGCCTCTCGTCCCCGGCCGCCTCTTGACGGCCCCTGGGTCCGGGCAGGGGGCCCCCGAGGCGCCGCAGACGACGAAGCGCTTCCGCCTCGCTCTCCTCGAGGCGCCAGGGCTTCTGGGGCCCGCCCTCGCTGCTCGCTCCGCCCTCGCCGGCCGAGGCGGCGATCCGCGGCCCGCGCCGGGCGCGCCGAGTCCGCGGCCGCCCGCGGCGCCCCCCCGGGCGTGCGGCCAGCAGCGCGACCGGCCGCCGTGGGACAGGCGGCTCCCCGCCGCCCACGGCCAGGGCGGCCGCGCGGCGGTCCGCGGCGGCTGCCCTCGGCGGCCGGCGGGAGTCCCTCCGGGGGCCCACGGAGGCCACGGCCTGGCGCGGCCAGCAGCAGGGAGGGGGTGGAGGAGGGATGGGGGTGGGGGAGGACGCCTTCGACGAGGACGGACGACGGGCGACGGACGACGGACGACGGACGACGACGACGACGACGACGACGACGACGACGACGACGACGACGACGACGACGACGACGACGACGACGACGACGACGACGACGACGACGACGACGACGACGACGACGACGACGACGACGACGACGACGACGACGACGACGACGACGACCGACGACGACCGACGACGACGACGACGACGACGACGAGCATGAGGAGGAGGATGACGACGACGACGACGAGGGGTGTGGAGGAGGAGGAGAAGGATGAGGATGAGGAAGAGGACAACAAGGAGGACGAGGTCGAGGACGAGGACGAGGAAGGGGAGGACGAGGAGGAGGAGGAGGAGAAGGTCAGCTAGATGATGACTAACTGGACACCTCCTGAGTTACGTTCGAGGAGTAGGAGGGGGAGGACGAGGACGAGGACGAGCACGAGGACGAGGAGGAGGAGGAGGAGGAGGAGGAGGAGGAGGAGCGCGGGTGCGGAAGGAGAGGAAGCTGGCTGAGTGTTCGGCAGACTGCGCCCGTGCAGCTGCGGCTCGACGAGGGATGAGGCCGTCGATGCTCGGAACGAGACGCCTGCCCCCGTCCTCGGTGGAGTTGGTGCTGCACGAATCTATCCGCCCACGGCCCGGTTGTGGGGAGGTGTGCCCTATTCGACTAGACGTAAGGGTGACCTTTCGCCAGAGTGACCTTTGGTGCGGGCCCGAACGCGATGCGGCAGTAGCGTCTTGTGCGCTTGTGTTTGGCTCCCCCGCGGCCCCCAAGAAGCCGCGCACCAAAGATCACTCTCACCCAGGGCCACCTATTGCGTGTAGTGTAGTCGACATGTTTTGTTTGGTGCCCCCATCTGCCGCCTCCTTTTGGCACTCATGCGTGTCCTGCTGAACAAGGATGGATGCCTGGGGGTCGCCGACGCTCCCAGAGGCGAAAACGCGTAGTGGCCATCCCGTGCGCTGAAACTCTTGCCCCTCCCCCAAGAACTCTCCTCGCGGACCTGTGCTTCATGCTGTATGCTCGTCTGGTCGTTCCTGCCTCGTGTGCTCGCCGGGCAGGCGAGCGGGTGAGTCAAGCCAGGAACTCGGTTTGCAGACTTTCCGCCTGGCTCGCCTGGAGGAAACTCTTCGCGATTCGCGTAGCCGCACCAGCGCGTTCAGAAACGTTGCCCATAGAGCTTACGGGAAAACAGACGAAGAGACGTATAGTGAAACAAAGTGGGCTACCAGGGTGAACAGAGAGATCTTTGGAGCAAGGGGGGGGGGCTTGGAGGTCCTC